AACAAAATCCTGAGAAAACTCGCCAAAGATCTTGAAGACTTGATGTTCTTCCATAAGAAAGTTGTCTTGCAATAGGATCCCTGGGCAGTGCGGCCTCTCTGGAAACGAAAGGGTAGGCCAGCTGGCGAAAGAAGGAATCTTGAGTTCGCAGTTGGACTGTAAGATAAACCAACGTTGGCTCAGAAGTCATCCATAAGATCCAGAATATCCCAGAGATACTATCCAGGGACTGAATCGACGAGAGCAGGTCTTAATCTTGCTCAATGCACACGTGTTCAGAAGGATTAAAATTGGCTTTAGTCCCGTCTGTGAGTGCGGAGAGGGTAAACAGAATGCGGAACATATATTGCAAACGTGTAGGATCTACTCACAGCAAAGGAGAGTGATCTGGCCCTTTCCAACTGAAGTGGAAAGGAAGTTATACGGAAGCCTGGAGGACCTAAGGAAGATTACCAAATTCTTCATTTTAGTTCCTGACCTAGCATTTTAGATCCATATTAGGAAGAACGCAGGGAGCGGGGTAGCCCAGTGGATGAGCACTGACTTCCATAGCTCAAGGTCCTGGGTTCGAATCCGGCTAATGACTAGTCATTTTTCGTTAGCCATGGATTGAATCTGGGTTCGGGAGATCCTCCTGGGGCGCACCCAGCGTCTATAAAATGGGTACCCTTAATTAAAAAAATAATTAAGGAGGCAAATCTGGTGGTTGAGCGTGATATTGGCTCCATCACCTCCCTGCACTTGGCCAGTGCAATACTTCCTCACATAGTACTGCACCCAAGACCATTCATGGGTTGTAGTGGTACAGGAATGAATGAATTTATGAATAAGGAAGAACGCAAGAAAAAGAAAAGAACTTTATTTGCGCATAACTCAAAAAGTAAACAAGTTATAGTACACCTAAGATAATTTGAAAGGTTTTTAAACAGCCTATTGGAATTTACAAATTAAATATGTTATTTTTAATAGTGAAGTATTGTAAATAACTAGTGTTTCCCAAATGCAAGACTCAGACGAGCTTTGGTTTTGCGCACTCAGTTTTGGTCTTGCGCATGAATATTGCAGTTATCTATTAACTTGTTACTATTTAGTAAATATGTTACTTTAGATCTTTAAAAAATGCTACAGAAATAGGTTCATCTAGATGTTTTATTGACATAAACATAATGAGGTACAACCACATTAATAAAATTAAGTTGACAATACATTAAAAGCATTGTCAAGAAAGATAGTGATAAGCTCCCACCTTGGAATGGAAGAGTTGTAAAGTAAAGACAATCTATACAATGTCATCAATTATTTAAATATAAAATCTGGTGCGTCCACTCACATCACTTTTCTATCGCTTTTAAACAATTTTTTTTTTCAATTTTAAATATGTTCATTAAAAATAACACTATTGAATTCCACTAATTTTCCTGATAAACGATCAGAGAAATCATTAAAGTAAGATTTCAACGATGAATTAAGTAATGTACACGGCCTAGTGTACAATTATTAAAATCAGTGAATAGAATTCAATATACTGTAGCTTTGCTAAAACTGGTGCGATTTAGATAATTTTTTAAATAGATTTTATCGGAAATTTGATAACTTTTAAAAAATTTTGCCACTACATAACACTCTTCGAAACCACTAAAATTGGAAGAGTTGAATGCAAAATTATATTGTTTCTACCGATTCTTTACATATAGTAACTAAAATTGTCTAGTATTAGTAACTATTTTTCCTTGATTTTTAGTCACAAAAACATTTTTTTTTTTTTGGTCGTTCTTGGAATTGGTCTTGCAACAATTAGGCGGTCTTTGCAAGACCAAGGCCGATTTCGGGCAACACCATATCCAACCCATAAAAAAAAAAAAAAAAAAAAAAAAAAAAATCCCTGCATATATTATTACAGTAAGGTTCGAAATCGGGTTTGTATCAAATGTAAGCTTCTGTCGTGTTGAAATACCATGAATGGGGTACCGTTGGATTCAAAATTTCACGGGGGTTTAGCGAATAGTACTTTCTGCTTTTGTTTTTCTTTCCAAATTAACATAAAGTCGATATAAGCATTTTGCTAGGCTTTAATACTGAAACGGTGGTAAGGCTGTTGATCGATATCGAGGACAAATCGGGCTTTCAAGATGTCGATGGGTTTTCAACCCTAATGCGTTTCTGAGATAATGTAAGGAAAAGTGTTCGCAGCCACATAACCTCAAATTAATCATTGCTGCAATGGAATACATATCTCATTTCGCCGACGTGAGGGCCCTGTGATCGAGAGAGCAGTTTATATTATTTATGAAAGTTTTTGTTTTTGTCGGTAAGCCATATCTTCGTTGATTCTTTATGAAATCCTAAGATTGAGCCACTCAATTAGAAGGTTCCATCTCCTTCAAGGGGGAAAAATAGTCCCGTCACCCCATAAATATAGCAAAAACATTATGAAAAAAAAGAAACCTTATTCACGAATAACTCAATAATTACAACTTTGTCCTGCCCATGATTATTTAAAAGATTACTAAATTCCCTATAAAAGAAAAAAAAATCATCGTAATCGGACAATTATTAGCAGAGATACAGGTTATTGAAATTTGTAAACATGTTGGTTCAAAACATTAATGAAGTTTTAAATTAATTTTTTTATCCTTTTTTTGATTATTATTAGCGAGAAAGTAAGTTTCTCTATTTAGTGATATGTTGAATTATTTTCTTTTCTTGTTAATTTCTCATTTTATCGGTGAATAATATTCAATACGAATTATTCGTATGGGCCAACAAGTAATTTCTTCTTCTCATAAAATATTCAACTTACTTATTTCCGTGGTATATAATTATTTGTTCAGTGATCATATCATGTTATCATCCGAATTAAGAACAGAGGCCAACTAAGTGTATGTATATTAGTATTGTATTATATTATTAATAATTTCACGCTATTTTTTTTTTTTTAATGTTTTGTTACTGTATGTATCTTACAAAAATATTCAATATTTGTTTTGAGTTCTTCAAGATACAAAAATTCTATCGTTTTTCCTTTTACATATTCTTCACCTCGGGCTCGAATTTTCTGTGAAAGTGGAGTAAGAATTATACAGAAAAAAGTAAAACAAAATCCTCGACTTAAACTTTATTATTGAGTTCTACCAATGGGTAGTTTCTCTTCATGTTGTACATGTCATGTTACCAATGTCACATTTACTTATTGCATTTTCTATGTAATACAGTTGTAAATTTCATTAAAATAAAACACTTTATTATTTAATTTCTCAAATATTTAAATTAAACTGGAGTGCCGCAGGAATGGAACGAATGTTTTAAATGGAGCAGCTGCCAAGGAGGTACAGCTCGGAAAAATCTGTTCATAAATTCGACGAAAAGAAATAATTGAATAATGTTAATTAATATGTATTTTTTAATATGAAATGAGTTACTTGAAGGGCTTGATTATATTCAGTGACAAAATAAAATTTAATATTTTAGCTATGACGGTTAAAAAATAGTAAGGATGAGGACCAAAACAGAACTCGATTCAAAGCATATTCGAAGTACTAACATGAAAGAGGTTTAAAATGGTTTGGAGTTACTATCAGAAACGGAGTGAAAGGACTAGTATTTATATTTGGATAATGAAAAAATATATTAAAGTCAGGTAAGAGTACTATTGGTGGGCGGGGTGGATGAATGAGCTAACGCGTGTGCACTGCACCGCCGTTACCCGGCAACCTGATATATGAATATATCATAGATATAAAGATATAAAAATAGTCACGAGTTCGCGTCCCGGTGCCGGAGGAGTCTTTTAAATCCCCACTCACACTCCCGGAAAACCCCGTATAGCCTTAACGGCGAGGAAGGGAAGGACTTAAAAAAAAAAAAAAAAAAAAAAAAAACGTAAGAGTACTACTGGAATTCAAGGTACAAGTAACTCCATATACTTTATAATCACCATAAAGTGTTTGAAACAATCTTTCAATTACTTCATCTAAACCCAATTCAAAATTAATACACTTTTTTATTGATACGAATTTCTAAACACGATATTAGAAGCTGGAGTACGATGAAGAGAATTTCCCTCAATGAATGGAAACAAACTTATGGCATAGGCGGATCTACGGGGGAAGGAAGGAGGAGCTCTCGGGATTAAGACCTCCAAAATGGTAAAATGTAACCATGTTTTATGGAAAAAAATTATCTCTCAAAATATTATTGCTCGTGTAACTACATTTAATAGAACTTCAAGAATCGCTTTAACATCATTTCATATACGTAATTAGTATCTTTATATTTTTTCATAGTAATTATCGTTTTATATATATATATATATATATATATATATATATATATATATATATATATATAACAAAAAAAGCTTTTGGGCTGAAGCCCCTCCAAAATTCAATCCTGGATCTGCTAGTGACTTATGGTAATTATGTTCCCAAGTTTCCTAACTCAACAGCATGAAAACTGTTCTTCACAACAAAGAATATACTACAAAATATTGAAAATTTGAGATGATAACAAAAAATTACTAACTCGTATGAGATAAATTGATATACGAGCTTGATAAAACTGTCGTGAAGGTTATTTATAGTTAGATTCATTTTGTCATAAAAAGAAATAAATATGAGAGAGTGAATAAACAACAGTCCATCCTTTTCTCATTAGTTTCTATAACTTGAAGTGAAAATAAAAAAGAGGAAGGTTTCGAATATGTTTGTATGAGCCAATGTAATTGAATGTAATTAACTTCAATGGTGTCACTTAACCTAATAGTTTAAAACCTTCCATGGTAACCTGTTTTTTTCTGAAATGCATATTGAATGACCTCAATGAAGCATTATCAGTAATGCTAAAATAATAACATTATTTTACTTTCAGAAAGAGCAGTTCAGATATATACTTTTAAAATTGTGCAGCTCGTTCCTTCTTCCAATGTAGAAAAATTAAAAATAAAATAGAAAGATATATAGGTAACTAATTCTGATAAATTGAAAGAGAACAACAGGTTGCTCGTTAGTATTTCGACATTATGAAAGAAAATATTAAAGAAAAAAAACAGAAACACAACCCCTACAAGAAAAATTTAATTTAAAATTATTGCAACCACAATCGGGACTTTTTATCTGGCTACGATCTTGTAAGAGGCTAACCTTACTATTCAATTAAAGTATCCTTAAAATGTATGAATCATTAAATGATAATTACTGAAATTTTGTCAACCACCATTATTTATTTCTTCACTTAATCCTCCGCTCTCAAAACAGGTCACAGTTAAAGAAAGCTTAGAATTATTCATTTATTAGCGTGCATTGCTCCTCTTAATCTTTCTATCGTCATTTTAAAATTTTCCATCTTCCCTCCTATGAAATCTTCAATCTTTTCTTTGTTTCTGACGAAACTGAACGTCGGAAGAACGGATATTTGAAACATGGAACCTGCTTCCTCCAGCTCCGATACATCGACTCTAATAAAGACAACGTCAGGATACACACCAGCTAATTCTTCCATAGTTCCTCCTGTCAACTTGCAAGGACCACACCAAGGAGCTGTGAAATCGATCACTACTAATTTAGGACCGGCATTATCCAGAATTTCTTCAAGTTCCTCCATTTCTGTCACGGTTAAGGTATGGGTCTCTTTCATATTTTTTTTGTTTACTTAACTTAGATTGTCAAGCAAATACTTCTTAGTAAAACATCGTAAAACTAACCTTTGATAAGACATTTGAAACAATTAATTATATAGTGAATTTGAAATATTTCTCTCCCCAGTCACATGATTATAGTCAATAAAAATAGTTTTGAACGAGCTTTCTGGAAAACATTCTAAAAAAAGAAGAGGAATTATGATTTTGAAATTATCGACAATAGGAATTGTTTAACCGATTTCTTTAATCCATAATTCGATGCAAGAAACATTTTTATAATAAAATTTTGGGAAGAATCGAGCTTGTCTAAAATAGTTGTTATATTAGACCCGTTTCACAAAATAGTTCAGAACAATATTTTTTCCAAAATTTTATTATTTAATAAAGCAACACATAGAATATTCGCGTCGAAAAAAACCTGATTAATAGCAATACGACGCATAATCGCGTGATTACGGTATGGTTATTTTATTGTCATATCGTTGAGGCGATCTAAATAGGGGTGTATTGTCATTGAGCTTATTAGCTAACGATTTACTGAAGAGTATATCTAAAATAACGGTCATTGAAAATTTGTAAAAGGTGAACCTTTTCGGGTTAGCACATTTACCCTTCAGATTCTATAAACCTTACCATTGTCCATACATTTTGAAGGTTTCTAAAGCTTTTAAATACCCATCATATTTTTTAGTTCCCCGTCATTTTAAACAGAACAATCATGACATTCGTTTTGAATATATAAATCACAAAGACACACATAGTTTAAGTGATATTGAAATGTAAAGGTTTTTAAATAAGATAATAGGGTAAATACACCAGTAGCTGACATGCTCAAGGAAATTTCTTTGAGCTCTTATGTGTAAACATTTAAATAAAAATGTTATGGTATTTTTCCTGTATTCTTCTTATAAAACTACGTCTCGACTTACCCACATTTCAATACACGTAATCAGGCACATTTCAAATCCATGAAACATCGATCAATATTTTAAAAATTATAAATTTAGAGAAACGTTTTGTTGCACCAATAGCTGACATTATTTGATTTGGAATGTTCCTATATAAATGACAGGGTTGAGCATAATGATGGAAATTTGATATTCTTCATTTTGAAATGTATTAGTCACCGATAATAAATTAACTATTTACAAAGTCCTCATTAAACAACATTGGACATGTGGAATCGAGTTATGAGGAACAGCAAAGACATCAAACATAAAAAGAATAAAATCGTTCCAGTCAAAAGTTCTCCGGAAGACTGATGAGGAGCTGGCCAAGAGACTGCATTGAGCTGCTTGCTGTTTTATAATTTTTGTTATAATTGTTTCTTTGTTATTACGTTATTTACTTTTTTTCTTCTTTAGTTTGGTTTTAAAATGTATTTGATTTTTAACTATTTTCTGTTATTCATATTCTTGCTTGATTGTTTTTTTTTTTCGTTTTGTTCTGTTCTCCTTGATATCATATATATTCCTTATTATCATATTTGCTCATTACAATTGTAAATAGAAAATTTATTTTGATATATACATGAATCTTATAAATAAATAAAAATCATTTTAAAACATATATTAACAAAATTACCTTTATCTTATAATATAGCATTTCATTTTTCGACTTCGACTTACCGACAAATTCTGGACACTGTAAAGAACCTATTTTTGCAACAGTTTTTTTTTTTTTTTTTTTTTTCTTACCCTCCAAAATGTTTATTGAAACAATTACATATATAGTATACAATAATACAATATATACATGTAATAAATTCCTTCCACTGCCCGAGGGCATTTTAAGGATTGGGGATAGCTAAGGGTTACATATGTGGCAGAAGGCCTTGTGACTTTGACATTGAACGGGGAAGGACCGTTCTGCTAATTTTTTATTATTTACAATATATACAAATTAATGAGTTTGGACCGCAGAGACCAGACCACATCCTTCGGCGAGTATGTCCACCAAAGGGAGTTTACCTTGCCACCTCCCAGGTCTGGGTGGTGGTGAGATCTCATTGAACAGTGGGTTTGCACAGGCCTTCAGCCCATCAAAAAATTTGATGTGCCTCCGGCCTATGAACTCAGGTACCGAGGGGAGCTGGAGCTCCTCGCGTATTGTTTGATTCTTAGCCCTTTGTAGGGTGGTGCCACGGACAATTCGCCGAAGGATAGAGTTCTGGAAGCCCTGTAGACTCGTAAGCGTGGATTTATATAGGTATCGCAGGAGAGGGGCCCCGTGGAGCAGTGTTGGTCTTATAATAGCTTTATAAATTTGGAGCTTGAGTCTCAGCGAGAGCTGCGGCGACGTCAGTAGGTGGTAGAGCCGGTGTGACTTCTTTCGTGCCAGCTTGATCCTCTGCCTAACGTGATTGGAGAAGGTCAAATGTCTATCTAGCGTGACGCCGAGGTAGACAATCGAGGTAGAGATTTTATGATAAGCTCCTCCAACGGTGAATTGTGTGGGTAGATGCTTCTTTCCCTTCTGAAACGACATGACAATAGCATCAGTCTTCGCAGGATTCACTCTGATACCGATCTCTTCTAGCTCTTCAACAATTGTGGCTGAAGCATTCTGTGCCAGAGTGAGTGCAGTCTCCGCGTTGATGCTGGAAGCATATATGCCAATGTCGTCCGCATAGGCTGCTACCACCGCCTTTGGATGCTTGAGTGCCACCACTGGCGCCGTGAAAACGACGAACAGTATTGGCCCCAACACAGACCCTTGAGGTACTCCGCAGGTGGTATCGACTGGGTTTGACTAGTCTGTACCAACTCATACGACGAGAGATCTTCCGCTGAGGTAGCTTCGGATCAGTCGGCATAGAGTGGTAGGAAACCTGAACTCTTCCAGACGGCGAAGTAGATGCGTGTGTGACACGCAGTCAAAGGCCTGGCTGCAGTCCAAAGAGATGAGCGCCGTAGCTCTGTTGAGACTCATTTCATCTATTGTGTGGGCCTGAAGTTTAGCTAGGTGGTGTTCACACGCGACCCTCTCTGGAAACCAGTCTGCTCGGTGGTATGATGCTCTCTTTCCAGCAGTGCTTCATAAGCTGATGGTGGATTAGCCTCTCGAAAATCTTGCTGATGTGCGAGAGGAGGCTGATCGGACGATAGTGCTCAGCTGAGTCCCCGTTCTTCGCCGGCTTGAGTAACGGTACAACGATCGCTTGTTTCCATGCGGTAGGAAAGTATGAGATTCGAAGACATGAGTTGAATATGTTCAGTAGAAAGGCTTTACCCTTCCTAGGGAGCATCTTCAGCAGTACGTACGGAATCTCATCCAGTCCAGACGCTTTGTTTCCTTTGGTGCGTCGTAGTGTCGACTCCAGCTGGTTGAAGGTAGAGAAGACGGGTTCTTCGTTGGGACTGGGCAGTGGTCCTTCCGGTATTGGTGGTGCATTTCTCGTCCGCTCAGCATCCCTCGCTTCATAGCTTTTGGCCAGGAGTTCAGCCTGTTCCTTAGGTGTCAGCAGCTCATTCCCCGACGTCAGGTGGACAGTCCTCTTCTTGTTAACGAACGTTCGGACCAGTCTCCAGAACTGGCGGTGGTCATCATGAGTCCTCCGGAGCTGGTCATGCCAGAGTGAGGTCTTCCAGTCTCGCATGAGGCTGGCTATCTGCCGGGTCATCGCATTGATGGCCGGTTTCAAGCTGTAGTCACGCGTGCGCTGAAAGATGTTCCTCAGGTTGTTCCTCTGACTGATCAGGGCGAGGATGTGACGTGGTGGTCTCCTGATGGCGTTGGGCTGCGGAGCGAACCTAGGGATGTTCAGGTTGGCTGAGTCCTGGACAGTGGTGGTGATGACATCCACCGCCTCGTTTACCTCTTCTACTGTCTGGCACGGCGTTACCGCCGGTAAAGTGGATTCAACGCTAGACCTGTATCCTTTCCAGTCGGCCTTGTGGAGTAAGTATTTACTCGCCGGTGGTTTGGCGGGTGTGCCCTCGATCGTGTAAAGCACAGGCCGGTGATCCGACGGTCCATACGGAAGCGCTTGGCAATCCGTAATGGTGTGCAGATCCCTGGTTAATAGCAGGTCCAGCGTTGATGTCCAATCAGGTCGGGCTGAATGCCGGAAAGTGTGTACACCTGGGTGAAAGACGGCCAACCTAGTCTTGGTGATGTACTTCCCCAGTGGATTGTCGCTACCACACAGCCAGGAAGTGTGTCGAGCATTGAAGTCCCCAAGGACTACATGCCGACCCGTCACCTGGGCATGTTGTAGCAGCAGCTTAACAGATGTCAGTCCAGCCCTGGGTCTCCTATAGACACAGGTGAATGTGAACCGACTCTTAAGTCGCACGTCAACTGTGAGTAAGTGAGTTCCCTCGGTTGGTTCCACTGTGTTCGGGACGGATCTCGAAGGTACATCCTTTCTGACCAGGATGGCTATTCCCTCTCGAGACCCTGGTGCACACACCTCTCGGTATATAGTGTACCCCTGGAAGTATGGACGAGTCGAGGTGTGAAGCATGGTGTCTGTCAACGCCACCACTGAAGGTCTATGCTGCTGAAGAAGGAGCTCGATTTCAGCCTGCTTCTGGAAGAGGCCTCTGGTGTTGAAATTCATGACGAGATGATTAATCATGATGCTTCTTCGTCATAGCATCTAGCATGCGGGCAACTATATCCATCAGCTTGTCCATTCTTGTCAGCATCGTCATCACTAGAGAAGTCAGGGAGGCATCGGTACTTGTTGAAGGCTGAGGCGATTGCGTTGGTGGAGTCTGTTCCTTGAACTGGGTGGCGTGCTGGTGGTGGGGATGAGACTGGTGGTGGGGAGAGGTTCCTTCTGATTGGACCGGCGCTCCTCCGCTTGCTGTGCTGTATGCCAGGCCCTCCTGGACCCACTTACTCTGTTTGCTGGTATTCGTTTTCGTCGGTGTTCCTTTGGTGATTTCCCTAATTTTCTTCACCAACTCCTGTCTCTTCGAGCATTCTTTGGAGGAGGTGGGGTGGGCACCTTTACAGTTTTTACACCAGGGAGGTACTGTCTTCGGGCACTGTTCAAGGGTATGGACACCTCCACACCAGGGGCACGCACATGTTCGGCCACAATATTTCATAGTGTGTCCATATTCTTGACAATTTCGGCACTGTGCTGGGACCCCATCTTCTTTAAAGATGCTCACACGAAATTTACACTGCGATATGTGATAAAGTTTAGCAATGTCTGTCAGCTTGACCGAGTCGTCTGTAATTATCTGGATCAGCTCGATAGGTTTTGGTGGTTCATTCGGGTTGTATCTCTTTGTGAGTCTTCGGGCGAGCCTGAATCCTGGTAATCTGGTTTTTAACTCCTCGACTATCTCCTCGACGGGGAAATCAATATCGAATCCGTGAAGCACATATTTTCGAGATCGCTTAGTGCCTCTGGGAGCAAAACTGTGGAATTGTACCCTATTGTCCTGGCGCAACAGTAAAGTGGCTTGAAAGTGGTCATTCTCGGAGTTGACATACAGCCGAGTTTCTTTTGATGATGAATTGATAGAGAATAATGTTATATTATTCTCGATCAGTATATTTTTCAGCGCTGCCTGGGCTATCGGAGGTGCTATGATGATTGGCGGCGGTCTGTTTTTCCCGGTAGATTCAGTCTCAACACGGAAAATTTGTTGGCAATTGGGATCTGGGAAGGCTTTTCCGGGACGGTACGTGCGGGAAACGTGTGGCGTTTGGCTACTGGGGCGTAGCCTTCAATATCCGATCCAAGGCCTTCCCTGTCAGTTTCGTGAATCCTCTTCCCACTTTCATCTTCGGAGGCCTCAGGCTCTGGAATCTCCATAGGAATGTTCTCATTCTGGTTCGCCATCACGAATGAAGGAAGAAAGGAGGTCCGCTTGTCAGCGCGACGCTGCCCTCACTCGAGAGAGTAACTGCTGAGGTTTGGCCCAAGGGATAAGTATGGACCCCAACAGTATTAAAGGGCGCAAGCTTAACAAGCAGAGGAAGTTAATAGTGGTCTCACGTCACTATCAAAGATAGCAACGCCAAAAATATATAATCTGCGAGAAACGAGTTATTAAAATTCACAGATTGACCAACTTTTTTTTTTTTTTTTTTTTTTTTTTTTTTATCGCATAATTTTGCAACAGAAAAACCTAATTTTGTTTTATATTTATTCCGAATCGCTAGCAATTTTTTTTCTAAGGAGAGAGTTGTAAATAGTCTCATTTATAGGATCATTTTATGAAGTATATCTCTTTAAGAAAGTACAGGCCTGTCAGGCTGGCATAGGTCCCATTATAAGGATCCAGTAAATGACACCTATTAAATTTCTAATTCCTTCAACATAAGTTAAAAAAAGATAAAATAATCTTTAAAGATAAAACTATCTAAAAACACTCCATGATATAATAAAATGAAAACTTTGGAGTTAATCGAACTAGTTAAAGAGAAAAAGGCAAACATAAGGTTTGATGCCATAAGGAATTTGCCGAATTTTCCACACATTATTTGGGATATAGTTTTCGCCAAGACTTTAGCAAAGCAGACAAATATTTAAGGAGAAAATATAGAAACCAGAAATGTATGAAACAGAAGTCTAGTAATCTTGACACTGATAACTCGTCACAACTAATTTTCTTTTGGATAACTCATTCCCCAAGTTAACTTGGAACAAACAATAAATATTAAACAATTACTCTTCTACTACTAACATTATTAATCCATTTATATCCAACTGGACTGTGATACTAACAATATTTAGATAGTCTTATTATTTCAAGTTATTAGCCAAATATTATCCTTTTATTTATTTGTTTAACGTTCTTATCACCTGAGTTCTATGGCAGCTCAATTTTTTCACGATACAAGTGTTCGTTTCCTAAAATGAATCATTGTATGCAATGACTTCAATCATTTTATTTTATTGTTTTAAAAATATTGTTTTGATTTATAAGCATATTTATTATTATTTAAGGGTAGCATAAATATCCACTTAAAAATCAGATGTATACTTAGGATTTAAATCATAGATCAAACAAATTGTGTAAAAATAAATTTCACAAGTATTGGGAGCTTCTTGCAGTTATATTCTGAAAAAAACATTCCTGAAAAGAAACTATTATTACAAAAAAATAAAAATAAAGTAATAATAAAATGAGGATCAATGGCCAAGTAAGGTAATACAATATGTAATAGTCTTTAGGTACATATTGCTTTGGGCTAATTCTCCAGTTATTCATTATACAAATTACTTCTTTTTTCTGAAGAAAATTGTATTATATTTTTTTTAAACTAAGTAGGATTGACTGATAAATATTCTTAACCCGAAGGTTTAATTAAAAATAGCTTTTGAAAAAGGTGTTGAGAAACTTCGTTTGATAAGGAAATTCAATTCTAAATAAGAAATTTCAAATTTAATAAAAATTGATAAATTATTTCAACTACCCTTCCATATTTTTATTGATCAATTAGAATAAATTAAGGCATTAAACATGAAAATGATTACAACAGCAATCGGGTGGGCAGGCCAGTGAGGTAACAAATAACATTGCGCTGGTTTTCAGACCCAAGATTTCCTACCTCTAACGACTCTTGACGAACTTCTCAGTCTATTACCTTCAGTGTCAGAAGGTTATAAACTTCCTATTCTCACGTGTTTAAAAGTTTAGCTTGGTGAAACTACATTAATTACCGTATTGCGACAATGGGTAAAACTAAAAAGCGCTATAACTGGAAATCCAGGCAGGTTGTTAAAACAGAAATAGACAAAAGTGAAGAAAAGAAGGTAATGTTTTTTTCCTACTATTTAATTGCTGTTAAAATTTAGACAGATAATATATTTAGTTTATTTTGTAGATCGTGGTGAACATCCCTTCTGCTGAACATTATGATGAAGCCAATCCACTTGTCTTACCTTCCAAAAAGCGAAAAACTAAGTTGGAAATACCAAAAACTCAGGTTAAAAACCTTTTATCCAAGAAGAAACGAAAGGAGCTTGAAAAAATTGTTGAGCGTAAAAAGAAAAAGGAAAATGTAAGTCAGTTATCATTATATTTACAAGTTAAGATATAAATACTTACATTGTGAAATTTGAATAATTGTAGGTGGTTGAGGATACAATTATAAATGATATTTCATACAAATAAGTAGTGTTATTTTATTATGTGCTGTTTAGTCCAAGTTTTGTCTTTCATCTGAGCAATTAGGTCTGTGGTTGTCCCTCTTCTTTATATCAAACAGGAGAAGAGGGGACTCAGTTCATCTGTTGAACCTTCTTTTATTAAAATTCCAGAGTTACGTACATCTCTAGGGTTGAACTGCCACATATTTGAATACACATAGGAAGCAAGTTTATTGTGCTTGCTGCTGTCAATGAGCTTTTTTGTTGGAGCTAGATTTTAATTAGGTTGTTTCAGTGGTAATTTTCTTCTTTAAATCACACTCTTGCAGGGTATATAAAGCTTCTGAGAGATCTTTTTGTTTGAACATTGAACCTTTTAGATGATTTAGTGAACTCACTTGATTCTTGAAACTATTTCGAGAACTATGAAAGCAGCTCCTATATCAACTGTATAGCTATTAGTAACTGCTATTTTGATTAAAGAAGATTTCACTGATTAAACTTAATCCACACTTCCTATGATTGATATCATTGAAGAGATAATACCAGGAACCTATTCAGTTCCTATTTTTAATATTATACAATAAAGAATACCTTTTTTGTTTATTCAGCCCTAATGAAGGCCTAAAATTTAGACCAAACCATCTGCACATAATAAAAATTCTTTTCTTTTCTTAATTTCCTATTTGTGACTAATTTAAATTATGACTATAACCGCAAGCAACATCTATTATTCATCTACATTCAACAATGCCTTCACCATTTATATTATTTATCATAGCTTGTATATGATTCACACCTAAGTGATTTTTATAATGAATAGAGAGCACATTTATTCTCTACTAGGATTAGGATTTATTCTATTTAAAAAAAGAATCATTGCTAGAGAGAAGAATGAAGTAAATTTATAAAATTAAAAAAAAATAGAAAGTAAATCAAAATTGAATAATGATGACTGAAAACTATAAACCATACTAACATTTGTAATATGAACAAGAAAAAAAATACTCTAAGATATAAATATTGGCTAGTGTAAGTAAAAACTATAAATTAAAGCAATATTTCTCAGATATTATGTTTAAAAATATTGTCATTTTGATGTGCTTACAAGATGTGTATTTCTTGTTTGACTATAAAGTTTAATATGGATTAGTCAATGTTATTTTAATACTGTGATGATAATATTCAATGTGCTTTGTATGCAGATCACTGAATACTATAACTTATATTTCTTTAATTAAATAACTTAGAAGTTGCTTTTTGCATTTTACTACTTATTTCATATTTGTTAAATCATTATTTATTCAAGCTTTAATTTTAGCGAGCAGCTTTATTGGAAAGTCTTGCAAAAGTACAAGCAAAACCAGAAGAGCTAAGTAAAATGGTATCAATTTCAACAGCAATTACAAAAGGATTGAAACGCCGCTACAAAGATGATGATCCTTTTGATACATTAGAAGGTGGAGATAAAGTAGTGAGTGCATCCGGAAATAATGATAGCCAGCAACGTATTAATTCTATTAAAGGTGCTAGGAAAAGACGCAGACTGCTAGCAGTGATTAATAATTTTGACAAAAAGAAGAAAGTACGTGACCCCAACATCGTTGGATTTGAGGTAATATATTTTTTTTTCTGTTAATTGAAAACTTCAGTAATAATAAAGTGATAATGTTATTGTGAAATAATGGTTCTTGAGTGGAAATTCATTTAATTTTTAAATTTCCTAAAGTCCGGGCCAAAAATTGACCTCATCCCAGGCGAAGGTTCGAATATAAATTATGAAAGTGTATGTTATTGAAAGTAAAATGAACGTTGTGTATCGTTCCAGAGCCGCTGCTTTCAAAAAACGATTTTGAGAAACGACTTGTCAAAAGAAACCAATCTTCATGAAAAAACAACAAAGCCCAATTCAAGAGATATAATTGATCTACATTAAAAATGTTGGTACACAGTGGACACAGAATTTTAAGCTCTACAACTTTGATTCTGATTTTTTTCCTCTTAGGAAACTCATTTCCAAGCTACAGGGGCATTTAATTTAGAGTAATTTGTCTCCGTTTTTTGACAAATTTGGTAAAAATAAAAGTTAACCAAATTATTGAGTTTAGGCACTCATTCGATGCAAAATTTAACGTTCTTTAATTTCTTATAACTGCATTTTTCGCTCCGATGCACTGTTTAGGAGTTGTATGTGAAAAATGAAAAAAATGATTGAAAAATGTGGCTTTTTCAGCTGCAAAAAGTTTTCACTTGGTTGCTCGGTTTAGAAATTTAGAATTCTACATGTTCAAACCAATTACACACAAGTTAAAAAATAACAATTTTCGCCATGTTTTTCGAAATATATTTCCCGTTCCGATCCTCAAGTTACTGGCCTAATATTCTTTAAATCAGCCACCATTTTTGAAAGCAGCGGCTCTGGAACGGCAGACAAGATTTTTTTTACTCAGAATAACATACACTTTCGTAATTTATATTCAAACCTTCGCCTGCGATGAGGTCGATTTTTGATACCTGAATTGCAAATTTTGAATTCTGTCAGTGGAATTTGCTGTACAACATTAGGCAGACAACTTTATTTCTTTTTCATAAACCACATTTCATTCAGTAAAATCCATTTAATTTTATTTTGAAACATCCTGAAATCGTTGAATTTTCACACCTAAGATTACAATTTTCGAATTTGACTTTACCAGTAAATTGATGAATCTTATAAATAAAACACAAAACAATACTGCTTAATTAGTCATAAATTATTAAATTTGTGATTGTAGTGGTTTCGAATGTCAACATTTATGGAAATAGTGAAAGTTATTTATCAAATATTGATAATTGGATGGCCAGTGATTTCAATCATTAGGATTTGAGAGAATTGCCTAATCTTGTCTAAACCATTCTACAGTCTATTTAAATATTGTCAGTATCACAGTCCAGTTGGATATAAATGAGTTAATAGTGTTAGTGTTAGTAGTAGAAGAGTAATTATTTAATATTTAGTGTTTGTTCCAAGTTAACTTGGGGAATGAGTTATTCAAAAGAAAATTAGTTGTGACGAGTTATCAGTGTCAAGATTACATTGTTTTCTCAAGCGTCAATTTTGTTTTGTATTTGTGGTTGCAAGGCCTCCTCGGTGAGGTTTATATTTCAAAATAATAATTTTAATTGTAATTCATTGATAATAATAATCAATGAATTGTTAAATTAAGTTGTTGTTCTTTATCAGAACTGTCTGATATTTTAAGATTAGAATTATTTTTAACTGCTAGTTCAATTTACATTTATATCCTACATTGGACCACTTCTTGTTTTTCTTTTAGTCTTCCTCTGAGGAATCCTCTGATGATGATGACAATGATGACGATACTGCTTTAAACATCAAGCAAGAAACTCCAGTTGATGATAACAATGATGAACCTGAATCTAATAATGATCCTGATATTGTTGAAGTTGAAGATGTTGCTAACAGTACCACGGAAAAGCCAAATAATGCTGCAGAAAATGATGTTAATAAAGTAGTAGCACCAGATGGCAAAGATGAAGTTAAAATAAAAGAAAAGACAAAAATATCTGTGCCTAGCAATCCTGCTGTTTATGTTCCAGTTGATAGAAAACCAGAAATCCAAGAAGCTAGACTCAAACTACCTATACTTGCTGAAGAGCAAATAATCATGGAAAAAATCAATGAAAATCATGTTGTACTAATTGCTGGAGAAACTGGAAGTGGTAAAACTACCCAAGTCCCACAATTTCTTTATGAAGCTGGTTATGCAAGGTGATTTTGAGTTTTTTTTTTCTATAACATTTATTTATTGGTTGTTCATGATTTTAATTTTATTGTTTTGTTTTTTTTAGAGATGGAAAAATGATTGGAATTACAGAACCTAGGCGTGTTGCTGCAATTTCAATGGCTAAGAGAGTTGGAGAGGAATTGAACTTGAGCTGTGATGATGTTAGCTATCTCATTAGATTTGAGGGTAATGTTACCCCTACCACTAAAATAAAATTCATGACAGATGGTGTATTATTAAAAGAAGTTCAATCTGTAAGTTTATTTTTATTTTTAAATAATACATTTGATAGATTATATATTATAATCTTTTTACTTTCTTCTACCTATATATTATTTTGTCTCCCCTTCCTTGCCTTTTCGGCTATACAGGGTTTTTTCAAGACCAGAAGAGGGCAAGGTCCTCAATCAAAGATTACCAACTGTCCCAATCAATCCTTTGGCCATGCCTTCATGAAATGTATGCCTGGATTGTTGTAGCAAATTTTTGGCTAAAATTCACTTTTTGGAAGTCCACTTCATGGTAGTGAAGGAGGAAACAAAAAATATGCACAAAGACAAGGTGGAAGGGAAACGTTATGGATGTTTGATGGAAAACCCGATCCCAGCAGACCTATCAAGAAAAGATGCAGTAGCCTGCTTCTGCCTGGCCACTGGTCTCGACTATCTACAAATTCATCTCCACAAGATAGGTGTGGTTGAGGATCCTAGATGTAAATTATGTGAACAAGCGGAAATGGATGCAGACCATTTAAACGAATGTCCTGCTTTGACGGATATAAAGAATCAAACATATGTAAATGATTACATACAAAAATCAAAATTATATTGGGCAACAAGATGTCGGATAGTCGAATGACCAATAACTATGGCATAGGGGGGAAAAAAAAAAAATTAATTTTACTTTTTTCTCCAAAATTACTAACAATTTTGTCTATACTTGTTATCTTGATGTAAATATCAGTAGGTCTTATTCTCACCGCTGCAAAAACGCAAGCTATACTCGTAAGAGGCTCCACGGACAGGGCTCACCCTATCAATCTGGACATCCAAGGTGCAAGGGTTAGGGTTGGTGAGGAGGCGACATACCTAGGGGTACGAATCAGAAGAAACTTCGACGTCACTCCTCACCTAGACTACCTAAGGGGTAGGGTGACCCTGACGATGAATGGCCTACGAAGAATCGGAGGTGCCTTCTGGGGCCTCAGGTACCCAGCAACCATGACAATATACAAAGGAGTCATCCTGGGTATCCTGAGGTACTCATCCCCCGCGTGGAGCCGAAACCTGAAGCAACACCACAAGCGACGACTGGCCACCATACAACGCCTGGCCCTGCTGGGCGTCACGAGAGCTTATAGAACGGTGTCCCACGAGGCGGTGCAGGTGCTGGCCGGAGCGATGCCCCTGGATCTTATTCTCAACGAGGACGCCTTGAAGTTCGAGATTAAGAGGCAGGGACTGGATACGCTACCGGAGGGACTTCGAAGAAGAATCTGCGAGAACCCTAACCAATGGAAGAAGATAGTCAGGGAGGAATCCATCCAGGAGTGGAACAGACGGTGGGTGACGAGCGAGAAAGGATCCACCCTCAGGAAGTTCTTCCCAACCGTCCAAGACAGACTGAAGGCTACATGGGTTCGCCCTGATTATTGGGTCTCTCAGATTCTCACAGGACATGGTGGGTTCCGGGGAAAGCTGGCTGACCATGGGAAGGACATCGACCCCCGGTGCCCTCCCTGCGGAGTCCCCGAAACGGCAGAACACATCCTGGTATCCTGCACCGAAATGGAGAGACGCCGTGCCAAACTCTTGAGGGAAACAGGGCTGTATAGCCTAACAGAACAGGATTTTCCCCGCCTAGTGGAGAAAGAAAATTACCCGCTCTTTAGGGAGTTTGTATACGGGTGGAGAGACACGATCGGCCCTGCACATTTCTCCCTGGGAGCGGCAAGAAGACCACCAGAGGAGAACGAAGAAGACTGAGGACCGGACGGATGCGGTGAGGACAAGGTGCGGCCCCATCATAAAAGTGCACAACTGTGTACCGGGCCGCACCACAGTATACCTAATTTGATTTTATGTTAAATAAATGAAAAATCCCTATTGTTAAAGATAAATAAATGTTGATTATTGGCCGCAGTGGTCATACGAGAACCCAACGTATTGACCCACTGCTGCCAAAAGCCCGTATGGCAACAATGCCAGGCAGGGCGAAAAAAAAAAAAAAAAAAAAAAAAAAAAAAAAAAAAAAAGTAGGTCTTATTCTCATTGGAATAGCCTGGCAGGATTGAAATGCCGAATTTTCTAAATTTCTTCCTCTAAAGAACCTTCAATTTTGTTTATTAATTTAGAAATAATTAAAGATCTCTCATTGTTTGTAGTACTACAAATTAAATAAATATGACCTACGAAAGAATTTAAATATTAACTAATTAAGAAAATAGAACAAATATTTGAACACTTTGAAAACATGTTTTGAAAAGCTAAACTTTTTATGATAGTTAATATCAATATACAACGTCATATAAGATGTTGGACAGGGACGAAAAATAAATGACTTTTTAATTGTTGCAGTTTATAGTGTCCGCTTTTATATCATTAAATGGAAAAAATAAATTTTTATAGAAAATAAATGGAATTTATATAGAAAATTTTATGATTCATTTTCAACTTATTAAACCAGAAATATATAGTACACAGAATTGTCACATTATTTATTAATTTCATAAGTTTGTAATCATAATTAATGTAATATTCTTAAAGTTTATTTAATTTTTAGAAACCTAATTTCTACTAATAGTAGGCTAGTAAGTGAAAGCAACAGCAGTTTTAAAATTTATTAGATATTTTTAATATAAAATACTTTTTTAAGCTACACTACAGGAATCGCTCTACACCATTCTCTAGGTTAGGTTACGAGTTGTCTTTGGCGATCAACAACTGGGTTATTATGCCCTTGAGTTACATTGTTATTTTTAATTTATTTTTATGAATGCATAAATTTAAAATTATATTTAGACGTTGTTAAAATGTTATACATATATATATGTAGTTATATTCAGTATATATTTTAATAAGTAATACTGGAGGTAATTTATATATATATGCGTACATTAGGCCTTCATGACTGCAGTGCATTTTGCCACAAAAAATAATAAAAAGTAAATGTACTTTATTGTTTCTTTTCATGTATTGCATTAATTATTATATTTTATAGTACAATGGTGTTTGTTTTATTTTCTATTAAATCTACTGAGTCTTTTAATGCTAGTTCTTTACAATGGGGTATTTTGGTTTTTTACAAAGTCTTGATGCAGTAATGTACAATCTTCTATTGTGTGATTTATGGTTAACTGGGACTGGCAGGTATTGCAATATGGTTGGGCCTCTTTTGTAATTAAATGAACATGAGTCAGGTTAGTATTACCAATTCTCATCCTTGTCACTACCACTTCTTCTCTTCTGTTTCCTCTTCCAGCACTTGTACTTATCCACTGTTTTGTGTTTTTTAAAAAATATTTTCAAGTTCATTAGTTGGTGGAATTTCTATGTGGATTTAGAAGGTGGAATTCCATTCTCTAGGTTGTACTATTCTTATCCAAAAACAGATGGGATTATTAAACGGCCTTTTTTTTTAACATCAATTTTTTCTGGAATAGACAATATATTCATTCTTTAGATGCTATTTATGGATGCATGGGAAGAAATTGTAATGAATACAAAATATGAAAACATCTTTTCATTCATTAATGAATAAAATAGGCTACGAAGGATTATCTGAAATATGAATGTAGAGGATTTATCTTCAGTTTCCACTGCGGAGATAAGGAAAATACTGCAGAAAAAGCTCATTGTTTGCCTATACTCTATCAGACCTTATATATTTCTCAGCTGTTCTTGAACAACCATTGACCACAGAGTTAGAATTAATTAATTGATTATACATAATAGTATTGATGTTATTGCTATTTTTTTTATGTTTTACTATGACTATGTGTCCATTTCTGTTCAGAGTATAATTAGAATGCCTACTTAAGAATTTAATTTTATTTAATGAATATTAAATTTTAATTTTTTATTCTAGAGGTAGCTGTTTTAAATATTAAGAGAGATGAGTTATAGAATAGAAAGGTGAAATGCTAGAAGTAAAGATAGGCATCTCCAAAGAGGTCTGCTCTATGAAGCCATACCTTTTTTTAAAAATTGATACTGTGTTGCACAAAAAAACAAGAAAATAACTAAAACAAAATTATTATAATAATAATAAATACGAAACTTTTGATTAAACTTAAAATAAAATGTTTTATTAAATTTTTATGATTGGGTGATATGCCAGCCCTGACATCTGTTGCTTCTCTCTTTCACAGGTTCTCATATTAATATAACATAATATCATTATTATGATGAATTAAAATACTATTTTTTTTAAATTAATTAAATTTAGAGTTTCATTTTTATTATTTTAAGAAATAACACATTTTTCATATAATTTATAATCATTATTATTTATAAATGTTCTTTACTCTGATGATATGTCCACAAAAAAAAGTAAATCCTTATTCAGATAGTGTTTAAGTATTTTTGTCATCCCAGGAAGGAAAAATTACACTCTTAATTAAACAATATTTATGGTAAGTTGTGTTAGTGTCCTTACTTGCCGCTTTCCACAGTGATTCCTGTTGATGGTTACTGCTCCTAAAAATTTGTAGATTTTATTGTTGTTAAATATTCTAGGGACCATGAAGAATTCGTAGTTAAAAGTTGGTAATGATTGGTTTTGCCGTTTTCGCAGTTTGCTGTTTTCATTTATGTAATTGTACAATGATTTGACTTTTATGTTTGTATGAATGAATTTTTTTTCTTCAAATTTTTGATAATAGTATCTGTAAGCTAAAAATTATATTGTTCAAAATATATTAAATATATGTATCTGCAGATTTGTATTAAAATTATTTATCTTTAATTGTTTATTTTTATTTTTAGGATTTTCTTCTCAACAAATATTCAGTAATAATTTTGGATGAAGCTCACGAGAGAAGTGTTTATACTGACATTCTTATGGGTCTCCTTTCTCGTGTAGTTATTTTGAGAAATAAGCGAGGGATACCTCTGAAATTAATTATTATGTCAGCTACTCTAAAAGTGGAAGATTTTACAGAAAACACTCGTTTATTCAAAATTCCTCCTCCTGTAATTAAAGTAAGTTACAGATTAAGATTTATTTTATTTGTGTGTTCTAAAGCTTTTTTTTTTTTTTTTTTTTTTTTTTTTTTTTTTTTTTTTTTTTTTAATAAGAGGATAATTATATTCCCTATACATTATATGAGTACCAAAATTCAAATACTTAACTTAAAACTTTAGTGAAGGATACTTTTTATTTAAAGTTCTCCTTCAGAGATATTATTTTATATTAAACATTATCTTTTTTCTCAAAATGTCCATAAGCCAACTGTGTTACTCATACTTCCTTTCATTTAAACTAAGCGTAATTCATATCAATTTATTAAAATCTAAGTTATCAAGAGCTATTGGAAGCTAGCATGAGGAATGACTAGTTGTCATAATTCAACTGTTATATTAATATTTCTGTATCATTCAATATTCAGTTGTTTATATAAGTACTGTCATTAAAGGTAGAATCACGTCAGTTTCCTGTCACTGTCCATTTCAACAAAAGAACAAATCCAGATTATCTAAAAGAGGCCTATAGAAAAACATGCAAAATACATACTCAGCTTCCAGATGGCGGAATATTAATCTTTCTGACAGGTATGATTTTTAGTATTTGATACTATTATAACACATTATAATATAATCAATATTTCATCCTTTTAAATTCATATTATATTACAAACTTTACACTATCCATTTTCTTTTGATAATTGAAAAATGTATGCCCTTAATGTGTCTTATAATAGTGATTCTGAATAAACCTCTTTTCCATATAGATGCAAACTCCAATTATTTTTTCTATTTAGTTTGTCAGCATTGTTACATATAATAGAATAGAATAATAGAATATTTGCTAGATTACTTATGTGTATGAAGGCCATAATTTTCTGGTTTTAAAACCAATTATACAATTATTATTTCTTCTTCTTTTTTTTTGGATTCAAATCTATTAATTTTAGAGTAATTAGAATCCGTTCACTTATCCAATTCTAATTTTAAAATTTTATTTGTATCATTTAGAGCTCAATTTCATTTGCTTATAAGATTTGGAATGAATGGTTTTATTTGGTTTTTACAAAAATAATGATGAATTTATTTTACTCCGACTTATATACTCTGATTGGATTATAATTTGTATTATTGTTATTTGTATACCTTGTAGACACCCATTCATGATCTAACGTCTATGTAAATATAAGACAATCAATTTTAGATCCAATTTATTTATTTATTTTTTGTGGAGGGTGCCAAGAGATAGTAGTCCGTGATACAGATCCCATTTTATCAAATTATTAACATCACCCTGAAAATTCGTAAATTTCATTGTAACCTACAAATATTTTATTTACAAAAATACCTGGAATTGGGTTTTTTTCAATCTGGAGGTCGGAAAAATTTCTCTATTTAATTAAGTACTGAAAACTCGTAAATACCAAATTTACTTTCTAGTTGAGCACAAAGTCGAGAAAAAAATGGCCTACAAAAATATTGAGCCATTTGGCATGAAGTACACCCCGAAAAAGTTAAAATAATGAGGTTATATAGGTCAAACGGCCCAATATTTTTGTAGGCCACCTTTTTAATCAATTTTGTGATCAAATTATCTTACGATCCAAGTGAAAGCGGATGAGTATTTACGAGTTTTTAGTGCCTTATTAAATAGACAAAAGTTGTCGACCTCTAGATTGAGATCTCTCCAATTCCAAGAGTTTTCATAAATAAAATAGTGTTAGGTTATGATGAGATGAAGCTATTTACGTAGTTTCAGGGGATGCTAATAATTCGATAAAAATGGGTCTTTACCTTACTGCCATCTATAGTAATTTGGACCAATTAATTGTTCTGTATTTAGTGCCAATATTCTTCTTCAGAATCTAGCAATTAATATTTCAGAAAAATTATACAATGAAAGTCTAGTAGCCATTTATGTAAAAGATTTTGTTCCATCGATGTTTTTAAAGTGTGGGCAAAAAGGAAGCAGTGATGAATAAGTGGATTAAAATAGATGATGAATATTATTTTAAACAATCACTAATTTTTTTATATTTCACAGGTCAGCAGGAAGTAAACACTTTAGTTTCGAAATTGAGAAAAGCTTTTCCTTTTCGGAAGGTTAACAAAACAATTGATAAACCAGATGATCAAGATAAAGAAAAGGAAGACGAAGAAGATGAATTGAACCTTGATAGAGTCATGCAAAAAGTCAAAAAGAAAAAGAAAGAAACTCCCCTATCTCTTCCTGAAATCAATCTCGATAAGTTGGTCTTTAATTATTTATTCTTCTTTTTTTTCTAGTCTAAATTTTATTTTGTAAGTGATGTAATTTTATTTGTGAATTATATATTTTAAATATTAACTGGTTTCCAGTTTTGATTTTTTTCTAAATTATTTTTTCAAAATTATTTGCATAAAGGTCATTATTATAAATAATCACACTTAGTTTTTGATTATTATTTATTAATGCTTATGTACAGTATTTTATTTTAGTGTCGTGTTTTTCAAATAGATTAGTATACACCAGCTTACATTTTATTTAGTTTTTGGAGGAGAAAACATAAATATATATTATTTTAGCTATGATGTTGCACCCAATGATGATACTGAAATGGACATTCTTGAAAGTGATGAAGAACCTGATGAGGAAGATTGGGAACTTGAAGGAATGAAAGTTAGCAATGCTCAACCGCTTTGGGTTTTACCTTTGTACTCTGTTCTACCATCACGTGAACAAGCCAAGGTAAGTTTTAATCCTGTTCTAGAACTTACACTATGTGATAAGGATAGTTATGGTTCAGCATCAGTATTTAAATTTTAATTCAATATACAATGTGTTAATCAGGTTTTTTTATTAATACATAAGTTTAACGAAATTTGCTTAAATTATTAATGTTCCAATTAGCAATAATTGAATATATTTCTTGTATTACATGTTAACAAGTTTACGTTTCGGGATATTTACTCCCATCTTCATAACTACAATACCAATGATCTTGTGGATGCAAGGCTTAAAAATAATAATAATGTGCTCCATCGTCAAATTTCTGGTTCATGTTATAAAATATATCATATAGAGCAACACCTTGCTTTGATTTTGCAAGATGTTGCTCTATATGATATATTTTATAACATGAACTAGAAATTTGACGATGGAGATGAACTAGAAATTTATATAAATATAAAATAAACAGATAAAGATAAAATAAATGAAGAAAATAGTATCTGGGGGTACTTGAGAGTCTTGCGACTTAAACTTTTAAGTGCATTTCATAATCAATCAGATTTGGAATGGAATAGGTGCTTAAAGAGGAGAGATTTGAAAGAGGAAACTGACAGTCTGTTGAATATCGGGAGAGATAGATTTCTACTGGAACATGGCTTGAATTACAAAGGATTTGTCAAACACAGCAGTTTGGTGAGGGGGAGGATGGAGGTCGGATGTTCGTCATCTTGTGGGATGGGATTGAATGGTATATTTAAATTGTAGGCTCTGTAGAATCTAGGAGGGTCGCTGAGTTCTAATAACCTGATATAGGAAGTTAGCAAGGAAGTACTGACGACGATAAGATGGGTATAGCCACTTCAACTCTGTGTAATACTGAGTAATATGCTTATCTCTTAAGATCCCTAAGATAGATCGTATTGAACAATTCATTAGATTTTTATGTTAGGCTTCAAGTTCTTCCGAGAGTCCACCATACAGCCATAGTCGAAGTGCGAGAAAACAAGAGATGAAACCAGGAGTTGGCAGGTTTTGAAGTGAAGGAGATAGGGTAGATGGTTAAACTGTTTCAGGGTGGAAATAGTACAACAGGAAATTTGGGAGATGTGTGGTTTACAGGAGGAGAGGATTTGATCAAGGGTAACACCAAGATTTTTAACCGTAGTATGGAAGGAGATAGCTGAGTTTTTCATGAGAAGATTGGGAGGTACAGGAATGGATTTCAGGAGTGAGGGGGATCCATTCAGGATTTCTTTTGTCTTTTCATCATTTAAAGTGAATTTTTTGAGGTTTGCCCAAGCACATATTCTATTGACATCTTCACATGCAGTATCATAGCCAAATACGTTAATTAGAAGTTTGTAGATAGTTTAGTTGAGGTCTACTGGATGGCAACAAAGCTACAAAAATATGTTAAGGACTCTCACAATGCTATAAATGGCATAGAAAAGTTGGGACAGTGTATCTCTAACTACAATTGACTACTTTCTAGGATGATAGGATAATATTTAAATATTATTTGGATAATTGACACCCTTTAGAGAAAATAACTTTAGAGAATCTTTTTTTTTTTTTTTTTTCAATAATTATTGTTATTTCAAATTATTCAAATACATTACTTTATGAGCATTTAAATTATAATTTTCTTTTACCTTTAAAACAGATCCTTTTTTCATAATCAAGAAAATATTTCAGCCAGAAATATAATTAATAAGTCTCATTTAAGCTTGATATCTAGAAAGTAATGGATATTTCATGATTAATTTCTGAAATAAAATAGTTAAATTATTAAATTTGTCTGAAATAAAAAGTTAATAATCCTCTTTTTCTTTTCTTTTTTAAAATATTTTATAGGTATTTCAAGAACCTCCTGAGGGCTGCAGGCTTTGTGTGGTAGCTACAAATGTTGCTGAAACTTCACTGACAATTCCTGGTGTAAAATATGTGGTTGATTCTGGAAAAGTCAAGACTAAGTTGTATGATAAAATAACTGGTGTGTCAGGGTTTGCAATCACTTGGACGAGTAAAGCAGCTGCTGACCAAAGAGCAGGCAGGGCTGGTAGAACTTCTCCAGGTCATTGCTACAGGTTATAAAAAATTACCTTATTATTGGTTTTATATCTTCTTTTTCTTTCACCAATTTACCTTTCAGCGTGGGAGTGCCTCAAGCCATCGGTGCCACCTGTTTCTGATCCTGGCAAGGTTTTTCCATAGACTGTCCATATCCAAGGCTATTTGCAGAAATTCTTTGATTGTTTATACTCCACTACGGGTAATTAGCACAGTAGAAGAGGTCCCTTTATCTAGGGACGACTGGTTGGCAGTTATACTCCCGTCATTGAGTCTTCATAAGAGAGGTGATCCTGGGGTGTTTACTGTAGAAATAGAAAATCATCTTTATTCTGGTACTAGGTCCCTTAAGAATAACAATATTGTTCAAACCAATTGACAATAAATCTGGCCAGATGACCTATTATTATAAAGAGTAACTACAACCTAAGTAATAAAATAAGTATATACATAGTTTTGGAGGGTATAATTAAGGAAAGCGGATGGGTACAAGGGTTACAATATTATAATATTGGTACCAAAAACAACAACATACTAATAACTAATAACTGTACATGCCTTACTGTCAGTTTATATATATATATATAGTGTACAGTTCTGCTGTGTACTGAACTCAGGAGACCAGGAGATCATTAATCCGCACTAGTACAGCATATCTATTAGGCCTTGCGGGATTATTGGTTTTACTTGTTTTTAATTTAAAATGATTGAAATTTTGTAGTTTTTACTTTAATTATATACTTATATAATAACTGGAATTGTGCTCAATATTTTTTATAATGTTAATTTATTGCTAAAAGTCACTAAGTACATTTTTATGAAGCTAAACTTATAAGTGTTTAGCATAGGAAGGTGGTGGCCCCATCACCCAGTATTATAGCTCAGTCAGCCACTGGCCCTCCATTTTGGATGATAATTTTTGCTGATGCTCACACATTACGTTTATTCAGCACTTATTACAATGCCTCTTATGCTATAGATAAAGTTCATCAATAGTGCACATCCTAAGGGCACCTTCTCTAGGTAGCCGCCCTAAGTCAGGGAGCAAGTCAGTGGATTCTGATGAAGTAACCCTTTCATCATGACTGTGAGGACTAATCACTTCCATTCATTATATAAACACTGTTGTGAACTCAAGGAAAGAAAAGTCCAATATATTCATGATAAATAATAAATAACTTTAAGTTAGCCTCCTTAAGTTTTATCATTGTCCCGACTAGGAGCTTTACAACAGCTCCTCAACCTGCTTGATACATATAAGATTGACATTTCTGATGTTCAAGAGATAAGATGGACTGGTAAGAGAGCTTTAATTAAGCTACTCAGTATTCTTCAACAATGAGAATAAACATCATTTATGACTGAGTGTGCATGCACTGATACATAACACAATGATGAAAGGGGTCACTTCAATATTCTTGTAATCCTTATACATGGTGGGAAAATTGTAATTGGAGATCTGAATACCCAAATAGGTAGAAAATCGGTTTTCTCCTCTAATACAGAAAATAAAAATATCTATTAAGTCAAATGATAATGGACTACATTATAATAAAATATACATCTGGTAATTTTTCCAGTAGCTGCAGACCTTGTGGTAGCTAATTCTAATGTTTTGTTATAACAGCGTATATCTTATGACTCAGTGCACCAGTGCACACGGTGATGGATTCACTGTAAATGAGATAGACCATGTGCTGATAAGTAAGAGAGATATAATAGATAGGAGGTATACATTAGATAGATCTTTTTTTTTTTTTTTTTTCTGTTCTGATATTTAACTTTTTCATTATAATATACGAAGGATCTTTGTTTTAATTCTGTTTCATTTAGTGTTTATTTAATCAAGAAAGTTTATGGTAAATTCAGTCATATTGAATTTTTTCCTCGACAAAATTATTAAACTTATTTTTGTATATTCTAGATTGTATTCATCTGCTGTTTTCAATGATGAATTTGAAGGATGGACAGTTCCCGAAATGCAAAGGAGACCTGTTGACGAACTTGTTCTTCAAATGAAATCTTTAGGAATTCAAAGAGTGGTTAATTTTCCTTTTCCATCTTCTCCTGATTTAGCTCAACTGAAATCAGCTGAACAAAGACTTACATACCTGGGTGCTTTGGAGAGAACGCCTAAAAAAAAAGGTTACTAGATTTCATTACTATCTGATCAAATATCATAAAAAATTGTATTGATGTGTTTTCACATTTAGTGACATTAGACATATGTATTTATCTTCATTCCATTTATTGAAAAAGTTTTACTTAATTAATATCTTGTAATAATTTTAGGTGATGATGGTTGGGTTGGTAAGTTGACACCACTCGGAGAAGCCATGGCAAAGTTCCCAGTAGCACCCAGGTTTGCCAAAATGCTTTGTCTTTCGCATCAGCACAATTTAATGGAATATACAATAACTCTTGTTGCTGCACTTTCAATTCAAGAGCTTCTGTTAAATGATAATGAGAGCCAAAATAAATCGAGAAATAAAAGACTTTGCTGGGCTGGCCAAGGGAACTCTAAATTATTAGGTTAGTTTTTCATCATGATTTTGATTATAATATTTTTATTAAACTCACTCTGTTTTAAAAATAACCATAAAATTAAAGTTTTGTTCCAATCCTAAAATCAGATCTTATAACAGTTTTTTATTTATTGTTTGATTTAATACTAAATGTGCTTTTTTTGTTATATTTATTATTTTATTTTCATGTAGATAGTTAAGTAGGATATTTTTGCCTAAATGCATTTCTGTGGTGTGCTTAATCATCATTTCTTTTAATCCAAATCCTAAACTGATATGAGGTAGGTTCTTTAAGAAGTATGAACTCTTATGTTTTTCAAATTAGCCTTGTGAGTTCACTAAAAATGGAGTATGACAATTTGTAAAGAAATTTATGGGTTTAAGTAGATCTTTTAATTTCTGCTCAACAGATTCTTATACTTCAATAGATCTGCTTTTTTGTTAATTTCTGAGTTATGTGGAAACTTTAGAAGCTGTTATTTAATAATTATATTACAGACCAATCTGCGACCCACTCTAGATAGAGCTAGGCATCCACGATAATATAGATTCACTAAAGGTACTGGAAACACCGGCACCTTGTTCCAAATACGCCATAAGGTTGAGGTGAAGGCAGAGAAGTATATTATGTTAGTTTTCTATGACCTTTCCTTTGCCTTTGTGTGGTTTCCAATGTGCTACTGGAGCTACAAAACTTTGAGACTCCCAGTAGTATGACCTAATGAGAACTACGAACTCAAAGTATGGAAAGAGGATCCTCACAGGGCTGTGTCCTGGTACCTGTCCTTTATCAGTCTTGATGCCATAATGATGGCATGCAGCAGCAGAGTAATAAGCTGCAAAAGAAATAAGAAGCTGAAAGGTGTGCCAATCTTTTCGGTGAATGGTGAGAGAGAAAAACGATGAAAATGGTAGCTGTCAAAACCCAAGGAATACTTCTGAAAGATACAACTAACTCCAAGTGAGAAAGTAACCTACCTTGGAGTAATGTTCGATAGAAGATTCAATGTTACTCCTAACTTGATTTACTTCAGAAATAGGGTCGCCCTAGCCCTCAATGGAATAAGTTATATTGATGCGCCCTCTGGGGTCCGGAAATGGTGACTGTAATGGAGTAGTACTGCGTATCCTGAACTACGCATCACCAGCTTGGAATCAAAGCCTCTCACGACTAAAGAAGAGAAGATTGGCGACAATCCAGAAGACTGCTCTGCTGTGATTAATAAAATCCTACAGAGCTATTGCTCATGAAAGGGTGCATGTTTTAGTCCAAGGGTACCTCTTTACTTCCTCCTATAAGAAGATAAGGCCAAGTATATTCTTAAGAAAGAAGCAGCAGAACCATCTAATTGGAAAAGAGTAAAATAGGAGGACACCAGTAGTAAAATCAGCGATGGGTAACTATTAGAAAACACTTTCCTACTGACTATTCAAGCTTGTAAGCGAAATGGGTTCTCCCTGATGATTGACCATCATAATTCCTCATAGAGCTTGGGGAGTTTTGTGCCCAGTTTCATGCCTTAAGAAAGGAAATTAAATCCTTATGTCCCTCTTATGGTGTTCTAAAAACAGCTGAGTAGAGAAAAGTATTGTGATAGTGAAATTTTTTGTATCCAAGTTTTCAACAGAAATATACGTTTTGAGGTCTCCTGTGTCCAAAACCAAGTCCCAAAGAATGGTCTGTGTGTGTTTTAACAGTCTAGCTCAAAAACAAAAAGTCGTATGATAGTGAAATTGGATATTTAAGGTTTGTATAAACCTGGAATGTTTGAGCAACTTTTTCATCAAAATCGGCTAACTGGAAGTAGCACTTTGTATCATCGATTTGACAAATTTTTACGTACAGGCTCTGACAATATTGTATTCATATACATATGCAGTTTTCATAAATGCTATCATTGGTATTGCTTAATATTTAATTTTATAGATTACAGCGATATCAAAATTTACCGTATATATATACCGGTACTTAAACAAATAAAAATACTCACAATGAAATATAAATAAATATAGCTGTTTTCTATATCAGTGGCACTCTTGTTGGATTAAAAATATTTCGTGACACTTAATTATTTATTATAATGAAATAAATAATTGAAATTTACACTCGAAAAAGAAAAGGCTAGTGCCAAACAAAATAAATATAACAAATTAGTTGGTTATGAAAAACAAATAGTAATTAATTGGTTTAAATAATGTTTCTTACCGTCTATAATTTTTACTTTCACTTCAGTTTGTCTTTATATACTTATTTCTCCTAAGAAGAGAGTGGTAAGTGAAAGTTGTGTGATGCGCGGACCACATCAGATTTTTTTTTATATTAGATCTAATTAATTATGTTCTCTATACCACTTTCAGGACTCACTGAAAATTTTAAGCTTTTTAGGTGATACAATAATCCTCTAAAAACAAATTATTTTTTACTTGCCTTACAATTGCTATTGCTGAAATAATGAGTCTTCCTGATACCTTGTACACACTTACCTCTTAAGGCAGTAACAAGTCTGTACCTGATTCGAGTAAATAAATTCCAATTAATCAATATCCTTTTAAAGTGAAACATGCTTGAGTGTAATATTGAGAATACTACACCTCAATAATTGTTTAATATCAGTGTTATAATAAAACAGTTTATATCTTAGGAACATTTTAAAAATATATTAGAATTATTTAAATTCAAACTTTATAAAATCTAATGCCCGCTTACCTTACCTTGTTTAAAACAGATTTTTTTCTTGTAACTTAAAAAAAAAACATTAATATACAGTTGATATTAATAAAAATAATAATTCATTTTGAGATAATAACATTTCATTCCTTCATGACCATTTTGTCCAATCATAGGTGATGCTATGGTGCTCTTGAGATCGGTAGGTGCTGCAGAATATGCTAATAGTTGTGGAAAATTAGAAGAATTTTGTAGTGAGCACAAAATTAGGCTGAAAGGAATCATTGAAGCCCGAAAAATTAGGATCCAGTTGACTAATGAAATAAACCTGTTGAACCCAGAATTAAATCTTCCAGTTGATCCAAAATTAAAACCACCGACTGATATACAGGTAAAGAACATAATTTAATTATAAATTTCAATAGATGGGTTGGAATCAATTATCATAAATTTATAATAATTAATGTAATCTGTAAATAAATAATGTAATATAAATATAAATTAATAGGATATATCAAAATTTTCATTATTTGTTTTGATACTTCACAGGCTAAACTCCTGAGACAAATTGTTCTGTCTGGTATGCTCGATCAAGTTGCCAGGAAGGTGGATGAGCCTCAAGAGTCGACAGTGAAACAAAGACCACTCTACCACACTCCACTGCTTGATGAAACAGTTCAGGTTCACAGTAGTAGTGTCTTGTACAAGGAATACCCGGAGTGGATTGTTTACCAAGAAATTTACCAGACCAACAAAGTATACCTCAGAGGTAAGTCAATATATGATATTTTCTTATTAATTGTATTTTTTTTTTCTGATTATTTTATGATCTTTGTGTTTGCTGTTTGGAAATATTTACTTCTAATATTCAATATTATCAACAATAACAACCCTTTGACTACAAGACCTCATAACGCATATTTCTTCCCTATGACGGGTCCCGAAATCCAAACAGACATTCGAAAAACTGAATCTTTTCCCTTTTAATTTCTTTTAAATACTATTTTTAGTCACCCTGAAAGATATAAGCTTTCAAAAATGCATTTAAAGCATTTTAATTTAATTTTGAGTTAAGAATAAATCTGCAACTGATAGCTTCCAATAAATGATTAGAAACCGGAACTACAAAACTGAGTGAGCCAGGTCTAATAAATGCATGGACCAAGCCACAAGCCTAATATTGGAAGCAGGACTTTCTTTTACAGCTACAAGTGGCAATAATCAAGGCAGAAAGGTAGGTGTACCGTCCGCACGGATGTCCCAACTCATAAAAGGAATCCTGTCCGCAGTCAAAGTGTTACTTCTAAATTTACTTGTGGACTTTCTAAAGCTTGAGGAATATTTCTGTTTTTATTTAAAAACTCTATTCTAAGCTTCCCAACAGAATATATATTTGGTTTTGTTTCAATTCAGCTCCAAGTATATATTTCAGTGGATTTTGAGTTCTGTTTAAAACAGAGAAAGTTCTGTTCCATGATTTCTTAAGCACAATGCCTGTAAAAAGAAGACTTCTTGGTCATTATGATAAAGGATAACAGACAGCTAGAAGATGTTTTGTATTTAATATCCAGATGGAACATATGATATAGTGCTGGTCTGAAGGAATATTTTTATGCTTATTTTTGATGAAAAAATAGCCGAGAAAGAAAGATAAATTATGAAACTAGAAGTTGATTTGTCTCAGCTCCCAACTATTGGTCTTCAGTCTCCTTATACATAGTTGAATTTTTACTTTCAAAGGTAAGGAAAGTACTGCGAACGGGTCAAATTTCTGATATGCTGTTTTCGATGGATCTATATGTTTCAGAGCCCTCTGAGTCTGAAAAACCCATTTTTAGTCATTGGTGTGTCTGATCCAAGATTTTTTGGGAAACAAGTGAGCCGATTTTGTTGCTTCTTTTTTTATTTTGTAGGGTTTTGACTAATGATGGCTGTGACAGAAATTCGGTGCCCCATGCGCAATAAATGGAAAACATGTTTTTCTATAGACTGTAGCGCAAAAATGGCTCTAACAATTTTGATGAAAATTTCCTATAGTATTGATCATTTTCCTTTCATTTTTCATATATAGACTAAATTCCCGGGAAAATTCAGGTAAAAAAGTTATAAAGAAAAGAAAAATGTTTTGGGGCCTAACTCGCTAAGTATATATTCTATGGAAAATTTATAATAACGCTTTTGAAAGGTAATTAAAAATTATCAACAAAACAAAAAAAAATCGGAATCGAACCAGTCAGTATTAGTGATGATACAGTGGATTCTATTTTCTACACATGTTTTAATTTATTAGGTTCCTACCAATTCTAGGTAAGGAAAGTATTGGGGTCGGGTCAAATTTCCAATATGCGGTTTTCGACGGATCTATATGTTTCAGAACCCCCTGAGTCTGAAAAAGGACTCATTAGCCTGTTTTTTTTTTTTTTTTTTTTTTAAGGTAATGAAATTCCCTACAAAACTATATAAAAATCATCTATTTCGGACAACTATTAACGAAGTTATGCTATTCAATTTCCAATGTAAGGTTATGTGTTCCTATCCTGGTGTAAGAAAGGGCTGAATGAGAGAGAGAAAAAAGATAACTAAGTGAAAGTAAGAAAATCTGTTGCCCGCATCACACAAGCTTCACTATTACCTCTACTTTTAACAGAAATTATTGTTTGAAAAAATTAGGCTATGGCAAAAAGTTTTTGATCAGCAATATTAGAGGGTATTGAAATTTTTACACCTTATCTACCTTAAGCCGGCTTATATTATTTTAGTTTATCAAATAAATCGTACTCAAATCTTTTTTTTTGATCAATTTTCAGGAAAATTAGTCTAATTCAATTTTTTTTTGTTTCTTAATAGACATAAGTAAAGATACAAAATCTTTTCTCAAATAGAAAATTCGTGTGAGTGGACACACCAGATTTTTATTATTTGAATAACCTTTTTGTAAGATAAGAAATATTTTCCTTGGTTTTTGTTTTTTTCTGGTAACCTCTATGTAAATTTATAAACTAATTATTGTTTTGATAAAATTAACTTGTTTTTCAAAGGTTTTCTTTTAAAATGTTCTGCTAACTGAAATGAAATATCTCATTATAGGTATAACTGCAATAGAACCTGAGTGGCTACCAGTATTTGCAAAATCTTTGTGCAGGGTTGGAGTGCCTATGGAAGATCCAGTACCTCGATATGACCCAACCACTGGTTTGATATATTGTCATGTAAAAGGAACATTTGGTAAATACTTATAATATTTAAAAAATAATAATGATATATAAGATGATTATTTTTATTTTCACTTACCTATTTATAAAACATAGAAAGGGAAAATATTGTGAAAAGTTTCTTATCCAAGTTTTCAACATAAATACACTTTTCCTAAGTCCAAATAACCAAGTCTTACAAAACAGTCTATGTGTATGTATGTATGTGATCAGTCTAGCTTAAAAATGAAGTCGTACGAAACTGTAATTGTGTATTTAAGGTTTTTATATTGGATGTTAAGCAACTTTTTTGTCAAAATCGGTTTACCAGAAAACTTCTATCATAGATTTTACACATTTTTACAATTTTCTCAAAATTGGCTCTAACGATTTAGATTTAATTCATTATATCAATGTAAAATTAAGTGGTTTTTAATATAAGGTAGTTCTTATTTTCATTAATGTTCTCTAACAGGACTTTAATACCTAGTTTTCAAAATTTCTTTCTCTAAAGACCTTTTAGTTTTGTCCTATGATCCTCATCCTTGGTTAGCTCATTATCAAGTCATAGCACATTTGTCTTCCACTCTATCTATAATTGTAGACAACTTCTTAAAAATTCTCCTATATTCCTTATCCATAATATTATGCCTATATATAGCTACTACAGTAGTACTTTTCAATGGCTCTCAATGTTCTTATATATGGTGTCTTCAAGGAATATATAAGCCCTAAATATGAGAAGTTTTGGGAGAAATAATTGAATAAGTCAGAAATTTCAATTTAGTATTATATGCCATGATCAAAAGATATATACAAATTGATACATGATTATATACAAAATATTGAAATTATATACAAAATGAACAGAAGCCCATTCACTGGACCAAATGAGACCCTCTTAGACCTCAATATCAAAGATGTTTTTACTAATAATTATTTTTATTGAGTTTTGATGAAAAGTAATGTTTACTTTATATAATCACTAGACATGAAATTAAATTTGTTCAAAATAGCCTTAAAATAAATAACCTTAATTGAACAAGTTTTAGTAAAGGTATAGTATATATAAGTTTTTACCCAGAAAGAAACACTTAATTTTCATAAAAGGGTGCTGCCCAATTATATTGGATTGCTATAGACACAGCCAATACAATGGACAATCCTTAAACTAATATACAATATCATCAATATATATGAGTATAGTAAACAATTTTTTTCCCCTTATTTTTACGTATTATGTTTCTCTTCAGTTTTTACTATTTTTGTTTTTCTTGACATTCGATTACCTTTTTTTCCCTTCTCTCTCACCTTTCTCCCCATATACATTTCTCTTATTTTTTCCTCTCTCTTCCTAACCTAATTCATACTTTTTGATGATAAATTATACAATAATGATAAAAAATGTGCACATACAATTAAAAACTAAATAAAATTAATATATTCAAATACAGTCTTTGTGTTCAATAAATAATATAAAAATGTTGTAATATATGCATGTGCCCTTCCTCCCCCCATGAACAAACACCACAAACTAGGTGGATGATTCCTAGGGATTATGTTCCATGAGGGTTATGTTTTCTGCTAACCTTGTTATATCCTTTAAGTCGACACCAAGGCCCTCCATGAAGTTCCTTGTTGAGTTTTGTATCGTTCCGTGAGCTTCGAACCAAAGGTCTCTCTCGTTGAACTCGCAGCACTTTTCCTTAAGGAAAGGGATGCATTTGTCGTTTGTTTCCTTTTTTTTCCTTTCCACTTTATCTGCCTGATTGAGGTCATTAAAAAAAAGTATTGCATTTGTTTCATAACAGCCTATTTACTTTTTTTGTTCATTTTTCAAATAATTGGAGAGCTATACATAAAACTTTCAAATGCTCATTTGAATGATAATGCAGAACAGAGGAGCTTATTTATTTTTGGATAAGTAATTTAAATTATGTTTTTCAGGAAGAAGAGGTTGGGATCTGCCTCCTGTAGAAATTGAATTTCCTTCCGTGCTGGATAAATATAAGTGGTTTGCAATGTTTCTGCTAGATGGTACTATTTTTCCTAAGCTAAAAAAATTCACAAAAAGCCTTCTCTCTACACCTAAGACAATGATTAGATCATGGGCTAGGTATTATTTTTGTTGAAGCTAATATGATTTCTAAATATTGCTATGAAATTATTATTGATTTTATTATAATCATCTTTTGTTAAAGGTTGCAGCCAAGAACTGAAATTCTTTTAAAGACATTGATTCAAAAAGAAGTTAATTCAAGAGATAAGTTGTTAAAAGTTTGGAAAACAGATAGAACTTGTAAGTATTTATTTATAACTTTTCATATTCATTTCTTTTTCTTTTTTAATGACAAATATGTTGAAATGGTTTGGTGGTGTTCACTATTATTAAAAAATTTTCTCTCTAAATTACCTCAGTTTTATGTTTGGTTATGCTCACCTAATAAAAATCATCTTATAAAATTAGTTCTTGGAAAAGTTAACGTAATAATTGTTAAATTATTCACAATGAAAGTTAGACATATCTATTGAACGAAACTCTTAATAATACATAAAACAATCAATTGAACATATATCTAAAAACATGTGTCCTGTTCTAATAGTTTTATAAATCAATCAATATGTGAAAATTATGTAATATGACATCTTGACGTCCGATGTTCTCTTATTCTACTCTCTTGTTAAGAGTTTAACAAAGAAGCCAGACATGAATAAAAACTTCATCACCGCATTGGTGATGTTGACAATAATAAAAATAATGTCCACAAAACACGTTTAGTTTTATAAAAAATATTGATATTTCTCTCTATATGATCTGATGCCGCAGGGATTGGTACCCAAAGGATGTCAAGGCTGTTCCCCTCTTTTGATCTTTTCAATAGGTATTGTCTGCCTCAAAATCATTAAAACCCATCCTCCTCAAAATCCGTCCAATATGCCGACTTACTAATGTTCGAGTTTTGATACTTCTTATATATTTCCATCACTTTTATTGTTGTAAGTTGTAAAGAATTTAAGGATCAAAATTAAAATTAGTTACTTCTCCCTGAAATTTTCTTCCTTTGGCACTTTGTTTGCAAAAATTCATTATTCCTAAAAACTAGAATGAATGTTGAGTTGAATGAATGTTTAGAAATTATGTATGTTAATATCTTTTTACTTAGTTAACTGAGCATTAAATCTTTACATGTATTTTGTTTAATATTTGTATCTCATTTAAAGTGGCTTACAATTCTATTGACGCCAGAAACTGTATAATATTCTAATGGAGCAGGGGATTCCCAAAAAACTAGTAAATCTAGTCAGGATGTGCTTGACGTAAACACTCAATAAAGTTAGAATCAGTAATAATCTGTCTGAAAAGTTTAAGGTTCGTTCGGCTTTGAAACAGGGTGATACCCTTTCGCCTGTCCTGTTCAATTTGGCATTAGAACATGCAATTAGGGAGGTAATGCGTACCGAAAAAGGGTTAGATCTGGGTGGCACAACACCCGTGCTGGGTTATGCAGATGATCTGGTACTGTTAAGCGAAGACGTGGTAACTATAAAACTAAATAAGACAACGTTAATGAATGCCAGTAAAGAACTAGGGATCCAAATAAACACAGATAAGACAAAAGATATGGTTAGCTGCAAAAATGGTGATATCGATATAGATGGTAATATGTTTGAACAGGTGGAGAAGTTTAGGTATCTAGGGTCTACGATAACTATAAAAAACGAAATTGAAGAAGAAAAGGGATGAATTAACCCGAGAATCAGACGGTTACTCAACGCCGAATTGCGTGAACTATATCTGAGCAATATAATTGAGGTGATCTCATCCCGCCGTATCAAATGGGCCTGTAAAATTGCTGGGCTTAGTAACGAGAGGATTCCTAAAAGGTTAATATTTGCTGTACCGCACGGTAAACGTCCGAGGGGTGGACCGAAGCGAATGTGGGAAGATTGCATTAAAACCGATCTGAAGGGACTAGGTTTGGACGGCGAACGGTGAAGGGAGGTGTGTAATGAGTGATTGGTGGTGTCGTCATCGAACCTTTAGGTTCGCTAAGCCTTTTATTATTATCTCATTTAAATTAATTTGTAGATACATCTTAAAATTTTGAGTATGTGATTTTTTTTTATTTTTATATATAGCACGATTCCATTGAGTTTATTTTTTGTTTGTATCTAATTTATTTATGGTTTACAAAATAATATCAGTTTTTGTTTATTAAGTATTTAATTTTATTTTTTTTTTCTGTATAGATTTACTTGATGCCTATCAAAAATGGTTGCCAGAAAAAGCACATAATGAGACGTCAGTGATGTGGCCTCCTATTGATTAACATTTCTTAAATAATATTTAATTGAAGAAGTTATAATTTGTGATAATTAATCATCTAATGTAAATAGATGTACAGATATTTAAAATTGTGACAGAGGATTTATGATGCTATTCAATTACGTATGTAATTGTTACAAAATATTTTATTTATTTTCAATGAAAATATTGTATATTATTTGTTTTAATATGTACATACTCCACATTTTCAATTGTAAATTATAAAGATGTTGAAATTCAATAAAATTTGTTTAATATTTAAATTTATTTTGTTATATTTACTTGTGAAGGTAAATTTGGTATGAAAAATGAAGTTGTAAACTTATATGAAATTTTAATATTTTACCATTAATATGAGATATTGTGGAAATTTATGGTGAAAAAGCTAGGCAATATTGTTACTCAAAGAAACAGATTCACTCTTGGCTGTTCTTTGATGGTCTGTGTGCAAGAAGATCGAACATGGTGATTAACTTAAGTTTGAATTCTCCTAGCAAAATCAAAAATAAAATTCTAGTAAAGTATTAGTACGTGGAATGTAAGGAGTTTGAATTCAGCAGGTGGATTAAAATTAGTCGCAAACAAGGTTAATGGGACAATTGGGATATCGTGGCTCTGCAGGAGGTTTGTTGACCAAGAGAGGGCTCAATAGGAAAGGAAAGTATACTATTTGTCACAGAGGAAGCATAAGTCGTCGTTTATGTACTGAGTTTATATTTAGGAATAGATTGCTATCTGCTTTGAGGGACCTACAATTTGTTATTGACCTAGTTTTGGTAGCCATATTTCAGAGGTGTTGGTTTAAAATCATGTTAATAAGCATACATTGTCTGACTGAAGACTGTGTATACAATAAACTACTGTGAAACAGCATGAAAGTAATTGAATTGGTGAGTATAGAAACCACTTCATTCACAAATTACAAATTTTTCAGGAGAGAAAAAATGTCATAACTCTTTTTATTTTCCTCTGTCATAACATGCATTTTTGTTGCTGTCATGCAAAAATTACCTAATTTCGACATAAATTATGCTCAGGAAAATGGTTTCACTCCATTAAAAGTTTATATTTTTTTAATTAATTTATTTTACAACAATTTATATTAATTTAAATTTAATTTGATTATAAATGTAAATACAAAGGCTCGGGATTTTATATTACTTACAAACATTACAAGTGATAATTAACGTAACCTAATACATTGTAACATAATGTATTGTAAAACAAAGAATATAGTATTATTTACAAAAATAAAATTATACATATAGTAAATATATTTTTACTTTCACTTACGTATATATGTAATATATAGTAAGGGTAAGTATTGCAATCGTGAAAATGTTTGAATCTGAGTTTTCAACGGAAATACACATTTTGGTGTACCTTGAGTCCCCAAATAACCTAGTCCCAAAAAATGGTCTGTGTGTGTGTGTGTGTGTATATGTTAGTAGTCTATCTCAAAAATGAAAAGTATGAAAGTGATATTACGTATTTAAGATAGGTATGTGCCTCACATGTGACAGCAACTTTTTCTTTAAAATTGGCTAACTGGAAGTGCCACTTTATATCGATGGTGAAACACATTTTTACAATTTTCTCAAAAACGGCTCTAACGATTTTGATTAAATTTGGTGTACCATTGTATAATTAAGTGGTCTTTAATGTCATTCAGGTCTTATCCCTGTTGATACCACTTTTCGTTAAAATGCCCAATGTTCATATACGTCTTCTTCTAAAGTACCTTCAATATGGTTCATTTCAAATAATTAACTATCTCTCATTATTAAAAGTTATGAATATTTTTACATCTGAAAAATATCTTCTTATGTCGAGGCTGCAGATGAAATAGTCTATGACACTGTTTACATTTCTCTCAGTGGCTGTGAAGGTAATTGTATGAATGAATTTCCCAATAGTAGATCATTTTCAATGCAGAAATCAGTTCCCCACTTTCATTTATATTGTTTTCTCCACCGTGCAGTCCCATCACTCCATGTGCTCTTAGGTGATCCTTACCTGTTTTAACATTGAAGTCTCCCATGATCACTATGCTTCCTAACTTTGGTGATTGTTCGTTCAAGATCGCTATAACTCTTAACTAGAATGTTAGCATCATTTGTCGGAGCATAAACTTGTACTAAAGCCCAATTCTCAATCCTCAGATTTATATCAGCTACAATTATGCCTGGAATTACTGCTTCCCATTCCACAACTTTCCTTTATGATTCGTTTTTCAATATAAAACCTACTCCTTCTACAGTTTGTTTTCCTGGTAAGACTCCAGAGTATATCAAACTGTGGCCTTTGTTCATTTTTATTTCTCCAACTCCTTTTCTTTTTACTTCACTTAATCGCAGAATATCCATTCTGTATGACGTCATCTCCACCTCCTTACTGAGGAGTGATCTCACGTTCCATGTTCCTAAACGTATGTTCTTATCCATGCCGTATCGTTTCCTTTTAGACTGTCCAATTCTGAGGCTTGTTGCTAATTTTCTCTCAATCAATGATTCTCTCCTACAGTTGATTAGCCCAGTGAAAGAGGCTCCATATCCTTGGGACAACTGGCCTCCTAAATATTTGTCCCTTCAGGAGTAAGAGTGGCCAAGCTATACCCCCCACCACTGAGTACCTGTTGGTCCACGGGTCTTAATTCAATTTATTCAGACCATCTTTCCTAAAAGGAATTCCCAGCCACCTGAATAAACCCGGGGTGCGCTGATAATCTTTATTCGGGTGTTCGATCTTTATTCACCTATCAGAGTGAAGTAACTCAGAAAATTAAATCATGTAAAGCAGCGCGAACTGATAACATTCCTGGTGAACTAATTAAAGCATGCAGCGAATTGGTAGAATACATTTATTGGTTAAAAAGATCTGGGAGAATAAGAAATTGCCTGAAGTATGAAAAGAATCTATTCTCATTCCAATTCCCAAAAGGGTTCAAGAACAGATTGTAATAACTGTAGAGGAATCTCCCTTCTTCCGGAATGTTATAAAATATTCTCATTAATCCTAACTGATTGAATCACATAATATGCCGAGGAAATTATAAGACTATCAGTGCAAATTTAGAAAGAACTGTTCAACTGTTAATGAAATATTTTTTTAAAAGCAAATAATGGAGAAAAATTAGAGTCCAACGGCATTATTCACCTGCTGTATATGAATTTCAAAAAGGCTTACAATTTTATTGATCACCCAAAGCTCTATAATGTTCTAATCAATTAGATGATGCCAAAAAAATTAGTGAATCTAGTTAGGATGTGCTTGAGGGAAACATTCAATAAAGTTAAAATTGGTAATTATTTATTCAAAAAGTTAGAGGTTCGTTTGGGTCTAAAAAAAAAAAAAATTCTCTTTCATCTTCGTGTTTAATTTAGTAGTGGAACATGGATACTTTATAATTGTTTTACTATAATAACATGCATAGACGATAAAGAATTGGAAATCAAAATAAATATGGATAAGACAAAGTATATGGTCAGCTGTCAACAATTTTGATGATATTGATACAGACAGAAATATGTTCGAACACGTAGAGAAGATTTGGTATCTAGAGTCTACGATAACTAGAAAAAACGAAGAGGAAATTAAGGTTAGGCTGAAGGCAGGAAATATTTATTATTTTTCTGGGAAAAAACTACTTAGCTCGTGCCTCTTGTTCTGAAACTTAAAAATTAGAATTTACAAAACCATTATCTTATTTACGGTTCATTTTGGATGCAAAACATGACCACTTACATTAAGGGATGACCAACACCTTGAGGTTTTTGAAAATTAAGTATTGCGTAGAATATTTGGACTGAAGAAAGATGAGTCAACTGCAGAATTTAGACGGCTACACAATGCCGAATTGTATGAACTGTATCATATTAATGTAATAAAATAAATAATAATAAAATACCTATGTAAAATTGTTGGGCTGAAAAATATTGTCCTGGATATGTTAAGCCAGTTATAATTTAGTTTGTTCAGGTATTAAAAACTTTAATTTCAGCAAAATGTCACAACACTAAATTAGGGTTCGGTGAAATTATCTTAGACTATAGATAATGGATTAGGGATGGTATTATCTATAATTTGATGTAATGGTTAAAGATAACTACATCATATGCTATCTTAAAATAACGAATAATTTATTTTATCTTTTATATTTGTTAATTGTTTGATTAAAAAAAAATTGACAAATAAAGATTATTCGAACAAAAAATCATCCTAAAAATAAAAACCATTTGATATATCAAATAAAATAATTTTTCCAATTAACTGTTTGGTTTGTGAGTGTTCCTGGTTTAATAATAGAGTTAAAAGAATAATTTAAGAACTGAATATAACAATGTTGATACAACGTATCCAAAATGACTAAGAAGGAGAAATTAAAAAATATTTTAAATGATAATTTAGCTCTTGAAGATGGAGTATGGTCCCGAAACGACCAATGGATTGTTTATTGATTAGGTAACAATAAATTTGCTGTACTTATCAAGATAAAATTATCAAAGATTATTCACTCTCTATCTTGCAGTTGTCCACTCCAGAAAATTTGGGAAGAAGAGTAATTAATTGGAAAAAAAAAATCAAAATTAATAAATTTTATTTTAGTGAAACAAAAATTAGGTTTCCAAATAAAAACTAAAATGAAAAAATACAACTTGAACTGTAAAAAATGGGATAAGATCTTAAGAGGGAAAATCAATATAATTCTTTTTCTTCTCAAGATTTTTCGTCTGAGAAACAATTACTTCTTGTTTTTTTGGTGATAATGGATGAAAAAAAAGTATCAATACATCACTATTTAGTTTATAAAATATTTTTTTATAAACTAAATGTGAACTCAGACCTTAAAGAATAAAAAGAGTTTAGTGAAATGTAATAGTCTTTAAAAGTTTATGAAATGGAAAACAAGTTTAATGAAGTTATAAAATAGAAGGGTGATCATAAGTGATTACAGATATTTTGAACACTTGTAGTCTTTCAACCTGTAACATTAGAATTTTATTTTTTAGATATTTCTAACCTCAGTTCTTTTCATTTCAAAATTTGTCGAACTATACCATAAATAACCTTTAGAATATTACTATTAAATTAAAAGAAATTTAAGGAATTATAATATTAAATTGATAGGAAATAGTTGAAGGTCTGATTACAGAAAGGACGGTTCTCGACTTGCCCCTTGGTTCTAGTCATCCCTCATCAATCACGAGTGTGCAAGCATCCTCTTGTGCATTGTTGGTTGAGGTTTAGCCATAGCCATAATTCA